TGTTCATAACCCAATTATCTATTTGTCATTGGGGAAGTCATGGCTTTATCAAGTTTCTGTTTGCTCACCTGTAAAATATGGCAGTTCAATTGGAATCTTGTTGAAAACCATAAGTTATTAACTTGAATGTTTGAACTGTTTAGACATTCAATAAATAAAAATTTTTAATCAATTTTTATTTTTTTTATTTTTATTTTGTCAATAAAAAGAGTAATGATTAAAATGCCAAACTAATGATTAAACTACATATATATATATATATTTATATAATAATTAAACTACATTTATATATTTATGTATTATATATATATATATATACACACACACATATATATATATATATATATATGATAACTAAATGAACTACTCTTTGGTATATGACAATATATGCACATATCATTGTTATATAGGGAATAGTTACAATTATAGAAGTTAATTGAGTGCTTTCACTTTTCATTAGTAATTGTAGGACCAATATAATAAGTTATTTTATTTTTCTAGACTTTTCTTTGCAGAATTCATGAAGTTAAATGAGTTAAATGTTTCACATTAGGATTTGATTATATATTACCACACAAATTGGTTAAGTTAATAATTATTGCACTTGTTTGTTTCTAAAATTACACTTGATACACATGGTAGAATTAATATTGTAATATTTGAGAAAGTGACATTTACTAGTAATTCTATTTCTGAAAGTTTAGTTTTTCCTGTCCTGATAATTAATACCTATGAGTATCATACAAGACATCTATTTTGTCTCTTCTTACGTTCCACAGAGGGAAGAGTTACACGTGGTCTATGTGCCAATCGCTTGTTATATTTTATTACTAAGACTGATTTTCAGGTAGCACCGAAGAGAAACATGTTTCTGGCAGAGAGAAATGTATCTTCTGAGGCCACTTTCACATTCTTGGGCTTTTCAGACTATCCGGAACTGCAGGTTCCCTTCTTCGTGGTATTTCTGGCAGTGTACAGTTTCAGTGTAGTCGGGAATCTCGGAATGATTATGATCATCAAAATTAACCCCAAACTGCACACTCCCATGTATTTTTTCCTCAGCCACCTCTCATTTGTGGATTTCTGCTATTCCTCCGTCATTGCTCCCAAGATGTTGCTGAACCTAGTTGTGGCAGACAGAACCATTTCATTCTCAGGGCGTATGGTGCATTTCTTTTTCTTTTGCACTTTTGTGGTCACTGAATTGATTCTATTTGCTGTGATGGTCTATGATCGTTTCGTGGCCATTTGCAACCCTCTGCTCTACACAGTTGCCATGTCCCAGAAACTCTGTGCCATGCTGGTGGTGGTATCATTTGTCTGGGGAGTGGCATGCTCCTTGACACTCATGTGCTCTGCTTTGAAATTATCTTTTCAGGGCTTCAATACAATCAATCACTTCTTCTGTGAGTTATCGTCTCTGATGTCCGTATCTTGCTCTGATTCTTATCTCACCCAGATACTTCTTTTCATTGTTGCCACATTTAATGAAATAATCACACTGCTCATCATTCTCACGTCTTATATGTTCATCGTTATCACAGCGCTGAAGATGCATTCAGCTAGGGGGTATCGCAAAGCCTTCTCCACCTGTGCCTCCCACCTGACCACCATCACCATCTTCCACGGGACCATCCTCTTCCTCTACTGTGTGCCCA